AAGGCAGATGCAAAGGATGTTGGTAGCTTATGATACTAAGTGGATAAGCCTGAAAGTGTGAGTCTGATTCTTGGACCCAATGGGATATGCTGCCATAAACCTACTTAAAAATATGTTCAGATTTCAGAGAATAGCAGATCGAGCACATGGCCGGATTTCCCCAGTGAGTGGGTGGTGATCTGAGGCCTAGTCTGAGAACATGCTGTGGCCATCTCCCCACTGAGAGGGGCCATCATCCAGAACGGTGCTTCTCCTGGGAGGCTCAGGACAGGCTTTGACAGCTGCAACTCCTTGCACAGACAGCCTGGGCCATTTCCAGCATCCTCAGTGTATTGCTGGGCATCTTACCTCTGTTCTACATGAACAACAATTAAGCAGTCACCAACCCTCAGGGAAGAATTAGGCATTCCAAGTAAAAAGTGCAGAAAATGGACATTATGTTAACAATCTCACTGGAAATGACAATAAAACATGTGCTCATATCTTTAAAAAAAAATTGCAGTGCAAATGCTTGCTTAGAGCTCTACTGAGAACTTTAATCCAGTATCTGCCATAACAAGGTGTTTGCTAATACACCCTAGGTTTCCTTGCTTTTTCTGTGTGGACACCAGTAGGCTCAGCTATCCATCCTGGTTATTGCTTTTGGGGAACACTTTCCCATCTCCCTGCTACTAATCATTAGCCTGTCTATTAGTATAAATCAATACATAAATATAACAATAAATACATTTTACCAAAAACGTTGTTGTATTATTCACCCTCTTTACCTGAGCATTGTCCTACATGAAATAATGATTTTTCTCCTCTTTCTCATCAGTTAACTGTTCTTCCTTCTCAAAAACACCTTCGATGAAAAAGAATCCAACTCAAAAATATTTACTGGGTGTCTATTATTTTGAGTCCCTGTTCTAGGCACTAGAGGTGAAGAATAAAACAAAAGACAAGAATCTGTGTCCATATGGGGCTCATATTCTCTTGGGAGGATTCCCTGTGAACTGTCCCAGGAGGAGAGCCTCCGTTGGTACAGTTGGCTTTATTGAACCCAAGTTTCAAACACACTATCACCATATCACTGTTGCCTTTAATCAGCTCTTTATGTTACAGGCCACTGACAATCTTCATCAAAGAATCAGACCCACTCAGTTTACCAGAGAAATTTTCATTTGGGAGAGACATATGCTAAGATTTTTGGACCAGAAAACTTGAAATTATTCACTGACACCATTTCTGGTGGCCCACCTGCAATTTTTATCCTATTTCCTCACCATTGCCTGGGGTAAGTGCTGAGACCTGACTTAAGAGGACCAGGGCAGTCAGAGTCTACTATGTAGCACCTACATAACAGCAAATTGGAACTTAGTATGGTCTCTCTGATTTCTCTCTAAAGCTATCACCAAGTTGCACATCTTCTATGATGCCCTGTGAGTATCAGAGCTCAGTAGTAAAAATCCAGTCTGTTCCCTGGACCTAATACTCTGTTTACCTCCCAGTAAACTTTTCACCTGAGCCTTGGGTCCTGCCACCTATGATCAGATTTCCCAGAAACCTAACACGACACTTCATTCAAGAGTGATGGCAGCATAGATTCATGGTTAAGATCATGGGCTTTGGAATCAGGCTGATTAGAATCATGAATCAAACGTTATCAGTAAGGTCTTGTGCAAGTGAATGAATCCTCTGTGACTCCATCACTTTGTCTGTAAAATGGGGAAACTAGAGTCCACCTTGCAGTTATTATGAAGTTTCAGAGGCTTAATACATAAAATACTAAGAATATTATTTACTACACAGTAAAGACCCAATGTTTCCTGCCTCATGAATATTTAATTCCTGTCAACCAGAAGAATAGAATGGGTTTGGATCTGAATCTTGCATCCCTTATCCACTTTGTTTGGATCTTCCAAAAGATTATCCAGACCCAGTATCTTTATTTGGGTTAGTTTGCCTTAAATCCCAGCCCCTTTCACAGACAGAATTCAGGGTTTTCTTGGATGGCTTCAACTTCTCTACCAGTTTTGTTATATGGGCAAGGCATCCCAACAGACTTATAGCACCTTACAGCTCCTGTGACATTAGAAGCCAGTACCATACTTTTTATTTCAACATTAAAAATAGCCTTAAATGCCTGTGACTTGCTTATATCATCAGTAGAATGGAGGCAGACTTAGTGAAGAGAACAAAATCTTACTTCCAAAACTGTTTGAGCTGAGAGAGAGAGAGAAAGGGAGAGAAAGAGAGAGGCAGGTAAGAAGTTGTGTGACTATAGTTTGGTGGTGTTAATAAAGTTGCAGAATTAAAGAATTATAAGCTCAAAGGCATAAATGTCCACAGATAGTTACGTCAATTATCAATCTTTAAAAAAGAGTAATGAGGGATATTCACTCTATAAAAATCTAAAAGTTGTTATTAAATCAAAAATAAAAACAGTATGATATTGGCACAATAAGTAACAAATAGAATAGTGTAACTTACCAGACAGCTCGGACAAAGATCAAAGTACATATGGGGTTTTACTCTAATATAAAATTGAAAAAATAAAATAAAATTGACACACAGAGCAATAATTTAGTAGATGATGTTGGGAAGCTGGGTCACCATATGTAAGAAAATGGAAGTGGATTTTATATGAATTAAACACCTATATGTGAAAAATTATAAAGTTAATATAAGAAAATGTGGGACAATATCTTCTTACCTTAAGATTGAAGGGCATTTCATAAATAAAATTCAAAAGCAAAAGCACAAAACATAAATAAAGATGATGGCTTTGACTATACTAGAAGATTTCTGTTGAATAACCATCATGAAATGAGCAGAAACAAGGGAAGGAAACATTGCAATGAATAAAACCAACAAAAAATTACCATCTAGAATATAGAAGGACCTTCTGAAAATCAACCCAGAAAAAGGGCAAATCCAAGACATTTAATGGGAAAAGTGTAAAAAAACACAATTTACAGAAGAAAAAATGGTAAAAATCTAACAAGCATACAATAAAGTGTCCAAATTCAGTGGCAATCAGAAAAATGTAAATTAAAAAAAAAAAAGCAATATGACTCTGTACCTGCTACCCTGGCAAAAATTAGACAATTATAAATCAGAGAACAATGTAAAATAATTGTCAGGAACGTGGGAGCATATGAAACCTCTTTCTCTGCAGGAGGGGAGTGTTGAATGGGGCAACAATGTCAGAAAGCCATCTGGCACTTGCGGGAAAACTAAGTGTTTGCATAAGCTCTGATCTAGCAATTTCTACTCCCAGGGACATCCATAAGGAACATGTTCAAGGTTGCTCCTTTCAGAACTTTTTGTTTGATGGAAGAAGTTGGAGGACATCTGGGTGTCCATTGTGGGAAAGAAGGTAAATTAAAAAAAAAATAGTGGATAGGCTTCATGCAGTTACATAGTCCAAAACAGAAGGCACCAGCCACATGTGGCTATTTCAATTTAAATTTAAATAAATAAAAATTAAATAAAATTTAAAAATTTAGGTCCTCAGTCTCAATAGCCATACTTTAAGTGTTCAATAGTCACATGCACCCAGTGGCTATTATTTTGGATAGTACAGATAAAAACATCCCATCGTTGAAGAAAGTTCTGTTTGAAAGTGCTGTCATGAAGAACTATGCAGCAGTTAGAAGAAACAGATTAAATGTTCACACAGCAGTATAGATGGTACCTAAAATCACAGTGCCTAGAGAAAATAATATGAAAAAATTAGCTATATTTCATAGCGCCATTTGCATAAATTGAAAATATGGACAGAAAAAACTCACATTAACCAACTTAATTCACTTAAATAAAAAAATACGTATTAACCCAAATTAATGTTTTCATGGTGTTGGAGAGAGTATAGGTGCAAAAGGAAAAAAATTAATTCCATCCATGCAGATTTTGGAGCTGAAAGGAGTCTTAGACTATCAAGTACACACCATTGTGTTTGTCCTTCTGGACATGGTCAATATGAATAAAAGATGATGCCTAAAACCAAGACATATATAGTCATTTGGGACATGAATCAAATATCCAAAGACATTAATACAAAAATCAAAAGACTTTAATAAGCACCCAAAACAAAGGTGGTTACAGGAACTCAAAGGTGGGAGGGATCAGGAATGACTTGGGGAAGAAATAATACTGCAGATGGGCCTCAAGGACAGTGGAGGGACACGAGAAATGGCAATGACATTCTAGGAGGACAGAACAGCTGGCACAAAGGAACAGTAGTAATAAGCCACAAAAAGTTCTTTCTTTCAACAGCAGTGGTAGGAGTGGTAGACGATCAAAAAAAGTCATCAAAGGAGACTAGCGTGGCGAGTGGTATGGGCACATATACCAGGTCCCAGGTAAGCAGACTGTCCAGTTCACCTGGGGAAGTCCTGGTTCATGTTTGCTGCCCCAGAATAATTATAAATGCACCCTTGCACTCTCAAAGTATTCCAGTGTGCATGGTAAAATATTTGATCTTCCTATATCTAGAGGAAAATAGGTTTAGCAGAGAGGTATTGAGGGCTTTCTGGTTGCATATTGATTTGATACACTGAATATTTGAATATTTTTCTGATGCTGTAATAATCAGTACAGGAACAAAATTTAAACATGCATTTTTTTAGAAATAAATTTTCTGTCATCTTTAGAAATGATGACCTGGCCCATGAGAAAAATAAAATAATTTTAAATGAAAAATTTTATGTGCTTCAAGACAAGCATCTGGTTTGAAACATCTCATCAACACCATATCTATTACAGAGACGTAGGCTCTGATAAAGCTGACTGGAATTTTCACCTAATGTTGTGCTCTGAGGTTGTTAGAAGCTAACACTAAAAGTCACTCTAGCTGGAGCAAACTTAATGGCAGATGACATCATATTAACACTGCTGTATGTATACTGTTATATATTTGTAAGAACATGGGAAAATTCAATTAGGAAAACTCAAGTACAATCAGAACGTATTTAACAGTTTGATTACTAAAAATAAGTTGCCAAAAGCACAGTTACCTCAATTTTGGTTAAGAGGTCTTGCAGTTCTCCTGATTCATTCATTGACAAAATTTTCTCAGCACCCTATTAACAAGAGAGGGTAGGGGGAAAAAGAAAATCCATTTTGTTAGTATTGGAGAAAACAAAGCTCTAGCCAGGAAAATTTAACCTGCAAAACATCAAACATGATTCTTCCCATCAAATCCAAGTGAATTTACAACCAGGAGGCCAAAGAGGAGAAATGTCTCTTTCCTTTCTCATATTCTCCCATCTAGTGAGGCTTCCTGGGGGCAAGAGGAGGGCCACCAGAAGGAGGTGGGCACTGGAAAGCCACTGCTGTCAGGATAAGGCCAGACCCAAATGGGCGCAACACACCCTTGAGAGATGTTCAGGGAGCCTGAAGCCAGCCCTGCCATCTGGGAAACGGAGTCTTTGAGCAAATTCCCAGCCTCGGCTGTCCCTGCCCTATTCCAAGCAGTCCTGGACATGGTCTTCCTTAGAGTCATGCATGTACAGATAACAGTAGCTAAAACAATAAAATGAATAACCACCGACACTAAGCAGGTACTGTGAGACAGGCACGCAACATCATCTAGTTTGATGTAGTTGACTCTGTTAATAGCAGAAACAGAGCCTCAGTGAGTGAGGTTACATAAGTTCAAGTTTACCCAGAAAGGAAGCAGAGTGAGAATTTGAACACAGGCAGTGGACTGATGCCAGAACCAGAGTGGTTAAGTTCTAAAACTTTACTGTGACAATGAGAAAAGGGGCAAACTCATCGTGTTTCTTTTAACTACCAATTTTCCTTCCCTTTCCAGTGTCTTCGTACATTCTCCCACTCTACTTCCCAGCATATAATAATAGAGGGGAAAGAAAGAAAACTTGGGGTACTTATTCCTAATCAAAGACAGAGACAACATCTGACTTATTCACATCATATCCCCAGCACAGGATATTAAATCCACTGTTGATTAATCAACAAGGCAGAAAAAAAACATCATCACACAATACATACTTTTGGATTCCTATTTGTGCTGGACAGGGTAGAAAATAGAGCACTTCAAAATAAAAAGGTCCTAGTTCTTAAAGAGGTTACAATATACTTTTGTGTAAACACAGAACACAGTAGCGCACAGAATAGAATGGAAAATAAGTGCCAATTGAATGATACAAAAAAGGGGTTAGCTAGAAAATCACAACAGAAGCAACAGTTCTGCTTATCAAGGGAAGAGAAGGATTTCTGAAGTTGGTGGCATTTGTTCTGGACCTTGAAGGTCAGGTGAGGTTTCTAAGATAGGCCAGGGCCAGAGGTGTCCAACCTGCAGCCTGCAGGCTATGTGTGGCTCAGGATGGCTATGAATGGAGCCCAACACAAAATCATATATTTACTTAAAACATTAAGAGATTTTTTTTTTTGTAATTATCTGTCATAAGGTATTTAATGTGCAGCCCAAGACAACTCTTCTTCTTCCAGCGTGGCCCAGAGATGCCAAAAGGTTGGACACCCCTGATAGGCAATTCCTGTATAGGAGCCTTTCGTTCTGGTTTCACTTTACCTCAGTTTATCTTATATAACTCATGACATCTTAATCACCATCAGAAATGTCAACTTGATATATTAAAAAGTACTATGAATAAATACACAGGGCTACAGAGAATATATGTAGCTCTGTAAGGCAGGTTATATTCTTTTATTTGTGGGTAGGTTTGCCAGGAATATAGATGTGATACTCCTAAAGTGAGAACAAAGGTAACAAAAGCACCAAAATAAAACATCAAAGTCTAAAACACAGTAATATCTGGTAATATTTTACTGTTGCTACATCTTATTTCTTTTAAGAGTTAGCTAAGCTAAAATGGGAAAGGCCTCTGGGGAATTTGGTACATAAACCAAAGCAGTAAGGAAACAATATACGAGTCATTTTTCTTCAATGAAAGAAAATGCACCTCAGTAACGCCAAGCAAAATGAATGTACCAGAGAAGCTATCACACATCTGCTCTGCAGCTCTGCTCTTAGCAGTCACTGTGCTTCAGCCAGTTGTTTAGCATGCAACACACAGACCAGAAAGGGACTATCTCATTTCCCTTAAATGCCTGGAACATGCTCGGCCTCAGTCAAATAATTCCAGCACCATTGCTATCATGGAAGTAGATTCTATGTTTCAGATGAAATGCAGGCTTTGCTGGGTTGCGGGCAGGTCCCTAGCTGGGGCGTGCGAAGAGGCAACTCATCAAAGTTTCTCTCACACATCGATGTTTTTCTCCCTCTCTTTCTCCCTTCCTCCCCCTCCTCTTAATAAAATAAATAAAATCTTTGCAAAATGCAGGCTTGGCCCACTTCAAACAATGTACTTAAGGTCATAATAATCATTGTACTTCAAGACAGCCAAGGGTGTCTAGTGCACAGGTATGTGCCAAGTGCTTATGGTGGGAAGAACTTTGCTCTGTCATAGAGACCAGGGAGGTCTCTCCCTCAGATGTTGCTACCCAGCATGGCCTCCACTCACAATTGTATCTGGCCAGCCCTCAATATTTTTTCCTTGGCAGGAGCCCCCTGGTCTTGTGTACATGCTGAGCAGAAACAGTAGCCAAACCCCCACCTTGTATCCCCAAGGGGCCTCATGTCCTCGCCCTCCCCCGACCCTGTTCTGGCTGAAACTAAATACAAGATCCCGCAGGCAGATGAAAAAATCAGCATAGGTGGGGATCTGAACAGCAGCAGATGGGGATCGCAAGCGTAGGTGGCAAATTTCAAGGAAAAATCAGATTTCACTCATCCTGAGACTGGGGACTTTTACTAGGGTAACTCTAGATCTCTCTTGCCCTGCACTACCTCTACGTGTTCCAAAGGTGTTATTCTCTGCAGTTCTCCATCACAAGTATCTCGATTATTGCTTGGCCTAAAAAGAGATCTTCATACCCAAAAAAGATGTTTCTTCTTATGTACTGATATTCTTAGGAAATAATCTTTTCTTGGATGGTATTTGGCTAAGAATTTCACATGTGAGTTTGTTAGTTTTTTAAATATAACTCCACATTTGATTAGTCATTCTACAATCTGGCATAGTTTATCAAGACTTCCCAGATACCTATGGAAATAGTTCTAGAGTATTTTTAATGGATTCAGAGTCACTTTTTTCTGACAATTTATACACTCCTGAAAACAATGGTAATAGCAATATATTCAGTGCATTACAGATATTGGCTCTTTTAATCATCAGTGCAAAGTAAGCACTATTATCTCAATTTTTAAAATGAAGCAACTAAAATTTGAAGAGAATAAAGAATATGCCCAGGGCCATTAGTTAATCAATTCAAGGCCTGGCCAGATCTTGAATTCAGGTCTTGCTCACTCTGTAACCTACACCCTTTCCATTGTGCCATGCATGCTAACTGCTCACTGATATATTGTAACATGATCGTATTAGTGAAAAAAAGTGGTACAGATTACTAGGGGACATTTCAGTCTGCATTTAGAATTCACTGTTGAGTAGGTGCCCATGGAGGTGAAGTGAACGAAAGCTTTCATCACCGTGACTCCAAACAGGATGAATGTGCCAAAGAAGCTACAGAACATCTTAGTCATCTTCTTTTTATGTTTCATTACCACACTTTTTCCAGTTATTTCTAATACGTTGCATATGCCAGGAAAGGATCTATTTCACTACTCTTCAATAAATGAAATTAGCTTTATTCTTAAATAATTCCCACCTTAAAATTCTGAGTAGTGAGTCTGACACGTGAACAAGCCACTTTATTTTACAAGTAACAAATGTCTCAGACAAAGATAAGACAGTTTGCACAACCCTTGCTCTTGTATGGGTTCCCAGGAAGAGATTCATACCTTTAAGGAATAACAAAAAGGTTAGAAAAGAAATCAGTCCCCTGATGAGTAAGACTACTAAAACACTTACCCATCATTTTTGATCCATGAATGTACAAAGGTACACCATACTTAATTATACATACGTCCATTCCTTCCTTCCTACGTCAACACTATTTTGGGTTAGGTGCTGTGCCAAGTGTGAGAGATACAACAAAAACTAAAAAATGGCTCCCTGCTTCCGAAGGAATGTAGTCTTTTGAAGGAGATAGATGTTAAACAAAAGATCACATAAATAAATGTAATCTTACAATTATCATAAATACTACAGGAAAAGGCATCAGTACGAGATGCTGTAAAAGCATACAATAAAGTGGATTTAACATAAGGAGATTTGGAAAAGCTCTCTCCACAAAGTAATGCTTACATAATCCTTAGGAAGAATAGTAGTTAACTGAGCGCATAGAATAAGGGAAGGAAATTAATTAGGGCAATAAGGTTTCCAAGTATTATATGTACATCACCCTTTGTAATCACCATTTCCTTTCATTCAAAATAGGAAAATCTATATTTCATGAAACTTTCTATGATATTCTGCACAGTACCATGGAGGAAACAGAGGTAAGAATCCAGGCCACAGTGAAAGCAATCTATTTTAACAATAAGCTGAAGAAAATAATAGATTAGTATAAACCAGCTTGTCTTTATCACGCTCTTCTAGGTGTCTGGGAAGTGTTACTCAGTCAGGAGTTTCCAAACACCATTATCAAAAGACAAAATAAACACATACAAACATTCAAGTATTTCTTTTTTCAAAAATTGCTTAACAGCACATGCTGATGTATCTCCACATTGATATCCAGCCTGCAGTTTCCACAGGGAGCACTGATATTTGAAAACTGTTCACCTGACATTCCCAAGAGGTCTGGAAGAACTAGAAAGATGTTCTCACTGACCAAAACCAAACACAAACTTTAGTTGTATCCATATATATTTTGTATTTTATGTTTACTTGCATTTATTCATACATCACTTCATGTTACTAAAAAAAATCAACTTCCAACAGAAAATCCATACAATGATATATTAATAAAATAAATTTTGAATAGGAATTCAGGACATAGAAAATGTCCTAAATAAATCTCAGAGTGATAGCTACGATGGAGCCTTAAACCTAAGTCTGAGCCAATTTCTCAGTTAAAACAGCTTTTCTTAGCACAGTAGTCCAGCAAAGCAACACCTTACATAATATTTTCAGTG